ACCTTTAAGTCATTTACAAACTACTATTCATATTTGCTACCCAGCTTCTTCTAGTTCCCTTTTCATTTATTCCAATTTAGTAAATATTGAGATTGTAATATTCGCTTCGATTCCGGCAACATGATGATTGATGTTGCAAGTCATTGATGCCTAAAATAGGAATAACCAACAACATGTATTGAAAGAGGAACAAGTCATGATTAGATATATTCAAGAGCTTTTGTAAGAAATGAAAAAAAAGTAAATAAAAATATCTGCAGTTGCAAAGAAAAACTCCTGCAGGGGCAATTGCATAGCAGCTTCAAGAAAAGCCCTTTGATTTATTATTCCATTTTGAAGAAGGTCACAGTCAAAAACAGACAACTGATAATAACTATTTTCTGTGTCTTTACCACATTTGTCCAGTCTGATGTGCTCTAAGTACAGGGTTCCAAATGGCAGCATAAGCCATTGCCAGAATGAGTAACGGTTTGGTCTTACCCATAGAGTGAGGAAATAGGAAAAGTATTTCATTTATTTTGTCCCAACATTAATCAGTTGTTGAATGCCTCAAGGTGAACACTGGTAATCAAAAGGAAATAACTGACATGACATTCATCTTTTTATTTTGCTGCAGAGAAACCTTGGAGAAACAAAAATAGAAAAAAAACTACTCCGCAAGCTAAAAACCAATGACCAGCGAACCATTACGGTCACCTGATGATCAATGGAGGTCAGAAAACGATGTTTTACAAGAACACATGAATCACAACGAACAAAGAGGCACTTGTCAGTTTCTACATGATAGTGGAGCGCCAAACTGAGAAGCCAGATTTATCCCAGAATCCCCTGTGGTATATCAGTGACTCACAGCAACTTTATTACTCAACTGCAGGGTTCAGAAAGAGCTCTATTGCATCAGTCCGTAAAGGGCTCTCACTAAAGTTCTGCATATCACAAGTGCCTTCCTGCACCCTGGGACAATCTCCCTCTTTGCAAAAGCTTAAAGACTTTTCATCTTAAAACTATATATCTTGATGCTGCTTCAAAGGAACACGTCATGGTTCTTAATATGACTTGAAACCCATGGCATGAGCCCAATCGGTGGCAGACAGAAAAAATGAGAACATGTTTCAAAAATACCTTACTTTTCTGTGAACCCTTAGAGTTTTCCCTAATTTGATCACAGCTTCGCAAACAAAATGGGCAATTGAGCATGTTTTCCTCACTACCAGACCTGAACAACAGTGTTGGGTGTAATGCGTTACAAAAGTATCGGAGTTACAGTAATGTATTACTTTTTGCTGTACTGTAACAAAGTAATGTAACGCATTACAATGAAATTTGGGTAATATACTACCCGTTACAATTCTCAGTAACGCAGTTACAACTGATTTTAACCCGAAATTAAATGGTGTTTTGTTTTTTAAGAATTCACTAACATCGCGAGACATTCCGACACCAGAGAAAAATTGTGCGGTTAGATTAGTAAACCTGGTGTTTACGCAATCAGTCAGGCTGATCTTGATGAGCCTGAAGGGTGTTCTTTTCTCCATAATGACCAAGTCGTTGTTCATTATCCCGCTTATTACATGGCCAGATACTAAACAAACTAAGGAATCGACTCCCAATATTAATAAAAATTATCGCATTTCTTCCGTTAAGAAAAAAAGAAAACTCCGTTCCACGGCGCACCAACGGCTGGAACTGCGACAACAACAACAACTTTACGGCAGCACTGTCCAACTCTGTTCACAGTTTCTGACCCACTAACAAGTCCTTAAACAATGCAGAGCCCATACCATGTTCCTGTTAGTGTTTACTTCTTGTCTGTCTTTTTCTGTTCATTTATCTGACGTCCAGCGCTCCGTCTTTTACCCTTTTTTACTTTCTCTTTCTTGATCCTCCTTAGCAACGGAATTGACCAATCAGAATCGAGTATTCAACTAAGCCTTATAATAAAAGTTGTTGGTAGCCTTAAGGGCCTACACAGTTGGGGAATAAAAAGTTTGGTCTGGGGATTTTCGCCTCCATAAGAATCATATTTAGACCAATAAGCAAACGTTAACATGGGAGGACAATCATGCAGGAAAACACTGAACGTCATTGTGAGCCTCTCCGCTCACACAGGGTTCAAATGGGGACGGAAAGAGCAGGTTGGTGGAACACAGGCGTTTATTAACTCCAAACAAAAATATGCGCGGGTCTCAAACGTTGCCCGGGTGGGAAACTTCACAGGTCCTTTGGCGACCTTCCAGGATCCCGCCTACCGCATAACAGAACAGAACCAGGTTACGACATGCTTTTCTTCCCGCACTGATTACCTGATTCCGATCAGCTGTCTGGCCTCCGGCCAGGTGTCCGGCCATTGGCCTTACCAGCACCCGACTAAAGGAGAGAGCCGAGCCGCCTCCACCCCCCCTCTCAGTTCGAACGCCGGCCCGCCCTAGGGCCGGACTCCAGCCCGCCACCCCCATACACCGTCGCCCCACACCCAAACCCCGCGACCGACAACCTCACTTA